AAACACACACACACACCAAACCTATTGCCATCAAGTCAATTCTGACTCATAGCAACCCTACAGGACAGAGTAGAACTGCCCCATAGGGTTTGCAAGGCTATAATCTTTACAGAAGTAGACTGCCACATCTTTCTCCTGCAGAGTGGCTGGTGGGTTCGAACTGCTGACCTTTCAGTTAGCAGCCGAGTGCTTAACCACTATGGCACCGGGGCTCCTCAAAGGTAGAAATATAAGTCCTCAAATATAGGTGTGAAATTCAGTCAAAGCTTTGGTTAAGAAATGTATCACTAAAAATAATTTTTTAAAAAACCTTTTAAAGAAGTGAACTTAAATTGTATACGTAAAATTTGTCAAAAGCCAGGGAATAAATAATTGAGGGCATTACTAAGCCCAGATCAAATATCTGATGAGTTTAGTTGATTAAGCAGGTAACTCTTTGTTCTTATTACATAATGGAAACCATCTTATCATATGAAAATGATCTGCACTTTTTAAATTGTCTTTGTTCACTACCATTTCAAGTAATCACAATATTTTAAGTTTCTACCGACACTTTAAGTACATTTAATTCCATATATTCTCCCATTCTTCTCACTCTCTCCATCCTTCAACCTCTTTCTCCCGTTTTACTCAATTTATAATGTCTTATACATAGCATGATCTGTACTAATGGTTGTTCAATTTAATTGCATTCATTGTACTCTACTATCTGACAATTGAGAAAGTTCTGGGCATTGTTTATACAGGCAATCCTCACTTTGCACAGTAGTGCCCTAAAAGTAACTGTGCAAACTGAAACTGTACAAAGCAATCTTAATAATTTCTGGGAAAAATTGTTTGTTTTATGACCTTTACAAATTTTTGTCAAAACATATGGAAACTCTCTTACTACTGGTTATAATATATAGGGAAAATGAAAAAAATAGTAAAACTGATTGTTGTTGTTATGTGCCATCAAGTTGATTCCAACTCATACCAACCCCACATGACAGAGTAGAAATGTCCCATAGCATTTTTTGGCTATAATCTTTACAGAAGCAGATCACAAGGTCTTTCTCCTGCAGAGCCTCTGAATGGGTTGGAACCACCAATCTTTCGGTTAGCAGATGAGTGCTGAACCGTTGTGCCACCAGGGCTCTTGAATATTTATTTAGCATACTGTAATTTAAAAAACTAGAAGAACGAGCAAATCAGTCTTAGAAGAAATACAACCAGAATACTCCTTGGAAGCAAGGATGATGAGACTTCGTCTTGCTTACCCTGGATATGTCATCAGGAAAAACCAATCACTGGAAAAGGACATCATGCTGGTAAAGTAGAAGGTCAGTGAAAACAAGGAAAACTCTCCATGAGATGGATTGACACAATAGCCACAATGGACTCGAGCACAGCAGAGATTACGAAGATGACAAGGACCAGGCAACATTTCATTTTGTTTATACCTAAGGTTGCCGTGAGCTGGAGGCAACTTGACGGCAACTAACAACAACGACAACACTGTAACTTAAAACATTACATATACTGAGAGTTAAAGTGTCTTATTTCTTTGAAAAAAAATTGTCAAGGGTAGTTTGAACAGTGCTTGCCTTCTCATTATGTAACTTACAACATTAAGTATAACTTAACAATATTACCTTGGCAAGTTGGCATCCTCCTTTCAGTGTTTGGATCAGCTTCCAATATTTTTTCCTTTGCTCCTTCAGTGTTGTAAAATATCTGAGAGTTCCTTTAATGGAAGTTTTTTGCCAGCATCACTAATCCTGGGGTATCTTGATCTTTTCTTCATAACAATTTTCCTCTTTTATGTTGATAACTTTGTCTTCACAAAGTTCCTCTAGCTGCATATCTAGAGTTGAATGGCAGCAATGTCAACACTCCTCTGGTCAACTATTTCTTCTGTAACTCCATTTACATTTGATTCCAATTTCACCTCCAGCATTATCGTTTTCCATTTCTTTGCTTCATGCACTTCACCTTTGTTGGCCAATTCCTTCTTACCATTATCAGTTTTTATAAAATGTCACATAGGTTTATCATTGACAAGGAAGCAACACAACTACACACTTTGCTGTCTGTGTGAGAACTGAAAAACACATGCACAGTGATCAATCACCCACCAACAGACATTGAAAGAAGTGATGTGATTGGTCACTTAACCTGATGTGCATTTGTTAATTACATAATGATCTGTGAACTGAAGAACTAACAGTGGTAACTGAAATTTGAACCATGTGGTTGGGGGACTCGTGTTATTTAACTAAACTATGTTTAGTTATTTAAGTTAGTTTAGTTAATTATACTAATTCATGTATATCAGTGCCATGCAAAGCAAGGACTACCTGTACTTTCTTGTTGGTAGGTAAAAATCCTTATGTAGATTTTAATAATGATACAATGTTGATTCTGGCTCCTTATTATAAGTAAATATAACTAACCTTTGTTATTAGGCTACCTTTGTGTAAACTTTCTGGAAATGTGAGGTGGTATCACTTAGGAAAAAACAGAATGAACATGCATCTAATATTATATTCCTCCTAACCCAAAACATTTCAAATATTTATCCGACATCTCTTATTAGAAAATAGAGACTAACAGATAAGACTTTTCAGTCTGCACCTGTCCTGTTATATCTGTCAACCTCCGGGCGGTGCTAAGTATAAATTAACTAAGCATAAAAAAAACTAGAATTTACAGGATTCACATATGATTTTCCAGTTCTCCATCCCTTCATTTAGAAAGCCTCTCACTTGCATTACTTTTAAACTACTACTTAGTTACCATTTTGTATTTAATGAGCATCTCATAGTGTGATGCCAAATATTCTTTTTAGATTAAGCTCCCTTTTTTTTATTTCCCTGGAAACTCTTCCCTGCTCAAATTAATCCTCCTGCTATTGAATTTCAAATGCCATCTTTGCATTGAGATATACTCACTTTGGTGATAAAGCTTTTTTTATCCAAAATAAATGTACTCCACTCCAGGTAAGGATATTCTTCAGCTTGATGTGGTGATTGAGCCCCTCCCTTTGGTCTCAGCTATAACACACTTAGTTCTCCCAGTGTACCGTTCATTGAATATATGATTATTATTTTTAGGTCTTCTGCAGTGTTTCTAGAAGAAAAACAAAAATAAAGAAAATTTTAAAAATTACCTTTCAGAAACTTCAGAAAAATGTCCCCAACATCCCAGGTTGTGACGGCATTCTAAGAAAGCTCTCTCTAACCAAAAAAATCCAAAAATGATGAAAAGTAGGGAAACTCTTCTGCCTAATTTTTCCACACTACACAAAGACTTCTAGTAATTGCCAATTTTTTCTTCAATTTTAACCAAGGTTTATTTGGTGAATTCTGGTATATGATATTTATAGGGAAGCCAAAATTGTGATGGTAGGTGGTGAATACCATATAGATTCATTTGTTTATCTTTCCTAATTAACTGTAGAAATTCCATAATCAAATAACATATATACCATTTGCTTAGCAAAAGATAATACTAAAAAATTTCTCTAATATCTTTTCATTTAAATCAAAATCAGTTTGGGAGAAGTATTTTTAAACGAAATCGAAGCAAGGTGAGTGCAGTACCTAGGGATTGCCACACTGAGGCGTGTGGTGCATTGTTTTGTAACTGGCTTTCTGCTCACAACCACTTAAGTCTTCTACATAAGCAGTAATAGTCATCAAGAAATTAAACTTGCAAATGAAGAATTATTGCTCAAAGGGTACTGAATTTCTGTTTAGGGTGACGAAAAACATTTAGAAATGGGCAGTAGTGATGGTTGCACAATATGGTGAATGTAATGAGCATCACTGGTATACTTAAAAATGGTAAAAATGGCAAATGTTTTGTTAATATATATTTTGCCACAATAATTTTTTTAATTTAAAAAAAAGGAAATTAAACCTATAATCCTAATACAATTCAATTAGTAGACATTTCCTCCTTCTATGTGTAGAGCTGCGGTATATTGATTACTAAAAAGAGTCCTACCCATTAGAAGGAAAGCATGCCCTGTGTTCTTTGTGATTATCATTATGTTAGGATAATCTGAAATGTAAAGTCACATGGCCATCTTTTTCTAGAAACCTCACCTAAACCATAAGAGAGAAATGATCTGTGTCCTATTATTTAAATCATCCAGGCAAGGAGGTCTCCCAATCGTCCTGCTCAGTATTTAACAGTCATCACATCGTGATCATTCTTCCTTTGTCTGACCAGATGGAGAATAGCTGCAATTCTTAGA